CCTTTTCCCTAAGGAAATGCATGACTGTCTACTGAAGGTGACACATACACAGATAAACCCCTTGAATAGAAGCTTGTCAGTTCTGTAGAAGAGGAGAAGTAAAGGTGGTTATATATTTTAAGCTTATTATTCATTATATGTGAACTTTTTTCTCTTAGTAGTAGTAGCTCTTTGTTTGTCTGCATGTGGGTATGTGCACCTGTATTCCAGTATCAGTGGAGTTCATAGGTGTCAGATATCTTGGTGCTCGTGTTGTAGATAGTAGTGTTCTGCCTGATGATGTGCTGGGAATCAAACCTGGATCTTCTGGAAGAGCGTCAGTGCTCTTAACCACTGAACCATCCACAGCCCCTAGATGAGCATTTAATATTGAATGTATAATTTGAAGTAATAAATAGCCTTACTTACATTCCACTAATCTCTTAGGCAGTTTGGTTTGCAAAATGTATGTCCACAGTACCATGTTCTTCTTTCCTGACCTACCTTGGCTCACTTGGCTTCACTTCTCCTGAAGTCCATGTATATATTTGGCCAAATGTGGCCAGCAATGGGGAGGCATCAGGTGTTCTGTCTGGGCCACAGTTTTAAACTCTGTCTCAAAAACTAAAAACGAAAGGAAGAATTGCAAATTGGATATAAACTCCTGGTTTATTTATTGGAGTGTGTACCAACTGCAGAATGCTCATAAACATGGCTGGATTACAAGATGTTAAAGCCCATTTCTCCCTGGGCATGGTGGTTCTTGTCTTTAATCCTACCACTCTGGAGGCAGAGGTAGGTGGAGCTCTGTGAATTCAAGGCCAGCCTGGTTTACATACTGAGTTCTAGGACAGCCAGGGTTACAGAGTGAGACTGTTTCTTTCTTTCTTTCTTTCTTTCTTTCTTTCTTTCTTTCTTTCTTTCTTTCTTTCTTTCTTTCTTTCTTTCTTCTTTCTTTCTTTCTTTCTTCTTTCTTTCTTTCTTTCTCTCTCTCTCTCTCTCTTTCTTTCTTTCTCTCTCTTATTTTTAGATTTATTTATTTATTTTAGTCTTATTTATTCAGCCTGTGCACCAGAAATGGGCACCAGATCTCACTATAGATGGTTATGAGCCACTGTGTGGTTGCTGGGAATTGAACGCAGGACCTTTGGAAGAACAGCCAGTGTTCTTAACTTCTGTGCCTGCTCGCCAGTCCATGAGACCCTTTCTTCAGGGGAAGAAAACAAACAAACAAAACCCTAAAAAAACCTGAGAAACCAAAACCAAAAAAGGGCCATGCCTCTAGTTGAGTTTTGAGGTGTTTTCCATTCTTCCAAGTCTGTCCTTGTATCTCTTTTGAGGAGAGACCTAGAAATTAAGAGAGTGTTGCTCATTTCTTTGTTCTGATATAGGAAGGAGAAGAGCAGAAGAGAATGACATGGAATGAGCAAGATGTTCAGTTTCTGGCAGCCTAGATAGGAAGAAAGTCACATCTAGGCATGGTGTTGCGGTTTATGGTGATTGTGTATCTAGAATAGTGTTTTGGACTCCTACCAATTGGGTCTTTATTTCTTGGGAAGGAGAAGAGCCTTCCCAATGTGGCTTTGCCATTTTAAGTTTCATTTGTTGCCAGTTATTTTCTGCCTGCATTTTCTGAGAAGAAAGGTCGTCTGGTGTGACAATATTGAGAGTGACTTGTGTGTGTGTGGTAATGGGGATTGAACCCAAGATCTGAAATTTAGTGTTTGTGAGTTTAAGGAGAGATCGTTCTAGGTGCATTGAATTGTCACTAGGGTACACCTTAAGTCTGTTAATGAAGGAAGTCTTTGTTTTCTCTGAGGAGAGGTGTAGCTGCCCATTGACTGGATGTATCAGAGTTACAGAAGTCCGTGCTTCCTACTTTGTGCAGGCCATCACTTTTGCTAGGCAACACTCAGTCACTGAGCTCTAACTCTAAAGCTCATTTTCTTTTTGCAACAGGGTTTTACTAAGTTGTCCAGGCTGGCCTTGACTTTAATCTACAGTCCAGGCCTTGAATTTAATGATCCTCCTGCCCTGGCTTCTTGAGTAGCTATAATTGCAGACCTCCTCCATGATGCCTAGTTGATAGTGACTCTTGAGCATTTAAATTGCAAATCAAATGGGTTAGCAATACAGCTCAATGGTAGAGTACTTGCCTACTATGTCTAGAGCACTGCTTTTGACTGCAATACTACAAGAAGAAATGAAACAAGCAAGGAGGAAAAAAAACCAACCTAAAACTATATGAAGTTTTCTTCAAATCTTTTTGTTCAGAAACTTTTTCATTGTTTTCTCTTGAGGGAGAGTCATAGCTGACAGTTGATTGGATGTATCAAGGTTCCAAACACCAGTGCTCACTAGTTTATGTCATTCAACTTTAGATTTGTCTGTTAGTGTGTCTTAGTTAGGTTTTCTTAGGTTATAATAAAATATGATGAACAAAAGCAACTTGGGAAGAAACAGTGTATTTCCTATTATGTGTCCAAGTAACAGTTGATCAGAAAGAGGAAGTCAGGACAGGACCCTGGAGGGAGGAACTGAAGCAGGGACCATGGAGGAATGCTGCTTACTGGCTTGCTTCTTCTGGCTTTCTTAGTTTGCTTTCTTAGGACGGGTTCTCTCTGTAACCCTGGCTGTCCTGGAACTCACTCTGTAGACCAGGCTGGCCTCGAACTCAGAGATCCCCTTGCCTCCTCCTAAATCCTGGGACTAAAGGCCTGTGCCACCAACCACCAGGTCTCAGTTTTCTTTCTTATACACCCCAGGACCACCTGCCCATAAATGACGCTCCCACAGTGGGCCAACCCCTTCCGCATCATAAATCAAGAAAATGCTTTACCAGCTTGCTCACAGCCAAGCTGATGGAGGCGTTTCAGATTGTTTGTTTGTTTATACATACATTACGTGCAGTATTCTGCCTGCATGTGTGCCAACAGGCCAGAAGAGGGCATCAGATAATCATAGATGGTTTTGAGCCACAATGTGGCTGCAAGGAACTGAACTCCGGACCTTGCTCTTGACCTCTGAGCCATCTCTCCAGCACCCTGATGGAGGTTTTTTTTTTTTTTTTTTTAATGAAGTTCTCTCTTTCAAATGACTAGCTTGTGTCAGGTTGATAAGGAAAAAACCTAACAATAAGAACCCAAACATCTTAGGTGGGTAGGTACACATACATGTATAATCAATCCCAGCAGAGATAGGCTGAGCTCTGTGAGTTCCAGGCCACCCTGGTCTGCATACTGAGCCCTGATCTCAAAACATAATAAACCCAATCAGAAAATAACCAAAACCTGATTATTTTTTTAATTAAAAAACATTTAAAACTTATTTTAAACTTTTCATATTAAAAAATTTCACCCAAAGACTATGCAATTCAGTGAACTTCTATATAGAGTAGCCATTTGAAACAGAAGCTGTATATCTTCACATTGGATTTTATTTATTTGTTTTATTTTTGGTTTTCTAGCACAGGATTTCTCTGTGTAGCCCTGGCTGTTCTGGAACTTGCCCCGTAGACCAGACTGGCCTCAAACTCACAGAGGCCCATCTGCCTCTGTCTCCCTATAGGTGTGATTAAAGGTGTACACCACCACCGCTCCACCACATTGGATTTTATATTTCCACTATTTTATGCACTTAACCACCACCAAAAAACAAACAAACAAGACAGAGTTAGAACTAAAAAAAAGTTATCGTTATATATGTAGATAAAACATTCATAAACATAAAATAATAAATCTTACAAGAATTTTGAAGTGATACTTGCCTAGGCCCATAATTTTGGAGGGAACCGTATAGTTATTTAGGATTTTTTTCATTATACATTATAATAAGTAATGAATTAAGTGCCCATGGGGCAAAGGGGAACACTTTTATGGTAATATGTTGAACCTTAATGACCAGGTAGTACTTCTTTGGATTGTTGTAAGCATTATCAGCAGTGTGTATCTCATCACGTATGCAGGTGGCATGGAGTATGAGCACCGGAAGACACTGGGTAGAGGTCATGAGAATTGTCCTTCCTGATAATGAGACTTTCCTTGTGTGCAGAATTAGTACAAGATTGTAGAGTAGGGAATATTTTGAGTTGTAGAAGTAGTTCACTGGGATAGAGGACTGTTGATTCACTTTACAAAGTGAGCAAAAGTTGGAGGAAAAACAACAGCATAAATCCTAGGCTGGGGGAGTAGGAACACAGAAGTAGGTGTTCAGGCGCCAGATCCTACTAGGGTTATAAAAAGAAGTGTGATAATTACAGGTGGAAATATGGGCTTCAAATTATGGATCTGATGGAACTTAGAATAGGAAATAGGCTTAATAAAGGTTGTTTTGTTTTGGTTTTCAGGCAGGGGCTGTGTGGCTCAGATTGAATTCATGAGGCTTATAGGCATGCGCCACCAAACCCAGTTCTTGGTTGGTGCACACTGAGCTCATTTGTAGCCTGAAGTAAATCTTTTATTTTTGGGGAGGAATAATATGCAGGGTAGGAGAGGTTAAAGATATTGGATGTAATTTTGTGAATGATCTTTTCAAATTGGATTAAGAGCATAGGTACAAGGTTTTCTTTTAGGTGAGTGGTAAGAGTCTACAGGACTTGGAAGAATAACAGAAGTATAGTTACTATTTTGAGATGGTTCTTATATATTACTTGAATATGTAATTAACATTACATGTACGTGCACACACACATTTTTTTGAGACTGTCTTACTGAGTAGCTCAGTCCTGCTTCAGACTCTTCTGTCTCAGCCTCTCTAGTATACCAGTTACCACTCCTGACTTCTTTCTGGTTCTTGTTGTTGTTTGTTTTGTTTTGAGACATAGCTTTGGCTGTTCTAGAACTCATGCAGAGTAGGCTTCTGTAGACCAGGCTGGCATCGTACTCCGAGAAATCACCTGTCCTTGCCTCTTGAGTACTGGGATTAAAGCTCACTGTGTATCAGTGAGGCCTGTGAGTATGTCTATGTAATATTTTTATTAATTCTTGTAAGAATCGGACTAATGCTGTTTATTTTGTTTCTAGTTTGGCTTTGGTTGAAGAAAGATTAGCCTATATGTACTGCTTTACCCACTGGAAGAATGACAGATGACAAAGATGTGCTTCGAGATGTGTGGTTTGGACGAATTCCAACTTGCTTTACTCTCTATCAGGATGAGATAACTGAAAGAGAAGCAGAGCCATACTATGTAAGTGTATTGGTGCTTGCCAACGAGATCTTTGTCTATTATAAATAAGAGTTTTAGAATCTGGAGGACTTCACTGATTGATTGATTGATTGATTGATTGATTGATTGATTTGCTTTATGCCTCAATCACAGCTTCCCCTCCCTCCTTTCCTTTCAGTCCCTCCCCCATGTCATGTCCCCATCCCTTTCCCCTCTGAAACAGGGAGGAAGCCTTCACTTTTCAATGTTGTTTTTCGTTTCCTTTTTGTTCTGTGCCATGCAGTGCATCCCGACTGCAGTTTCCCCTCACTCGGCTCCTCCCAGTCCCTCTCCTCACCTGTGTGTAACTACTCCATGCTGTTGGCAAGGTTAGGAGACTGGCTGATCACTTGGCAGGCCATGTGCTTACTGTGTGAGTGTGAGGGCCTGAGTCTGGTACCCCAGGAACCACAAAAACCTGCTGGATGCCTGTCGTGTCAGCGCTGGGAAGGCAGACAAGGAAGGGTCCCTAGAGCGGGCAGCCAGTCAAGCCAAACCAGTGAGCTCCTGATCTAGTGGTGTTTCAGGAAGGTGGAGAGTGGGTGGAGAATGGCTCAGTGGTTTAGAACACTTGCTGCCCTTATAGAGGACCCTGGTTCAGTTCTGAACACCTATGTGGCGCCTCACAGCCATCTGTAACATGGGTACCAGGGCATCTTGACACCCTGCTGGCCGCCTTGGATACCAGGCATTCTTGTGCTGCACATACATACATGCAGGCAAGAGACTCATACAAAAGAGTGATGGAAGAAGACACCCGACATTGATCTTGGGTTTCTACATGTATGTGCACATACACCTGACATACGATAAATGAATGAATGAATGAATGAATGAATGAATGAATGAATAGGTAAATAGATAAATAAATAGATAAGTAAGTAAGCAAGCAAGCAAGCAAATAAATAAATAAATACAAATAAATAGGGGCCCAGAGAGACAGCTAAGCAGAGAAGTTCACGTACTGTTCTGCAGAAGACCCGATTTTACTTCCCAGTACCCACGGTGGTAGCTTACAGCCCCCTGTAAAGCCTAGCTCTGCCCTTCAGAGACACCTGCACAAACACACAGACATAGAGTAGACACATATAATTTAAAATAATAACAAATCTTTAAGATAAATGCATCCCCTCTACTCATGCTGTACACAGACACACACACTCATTGTAGACCTACTGATACACGTTCTTTTTGTGTGTACATTCATTCAGCTATGTAAGAGCAGAGTCAGGCCAGGGCTATCTCGATGATAGAGCACGGGCTTAGCATGCCGGTACTTACCACACACAGGCATGTACTGTCACACATGGTAGTGGAATCATAAGCAGTGTGCTGTGTTTTAGTAGGAAGCTATTTTTTAATAATAGGTTCACATTGGATTTTGTTTGTCTTTTTATGTTTACAGACACGGTTTCTTGCTGTATCTGTGGCTGTCCTAGAACTCACTCTGCAGATCAGGCTGATCTCAAACTCACAGAGATGCTCCTGCCTCTGCCTGCCAAGTGCTGGTATTAAAGGCGTGCACCACAACTACCTGGCCAGGTTGGCTTTTTTTTAAGTTTTATTTTAGGTGTATTTGTATTTTCCCTCATGCACTGCAATGCTACATGATTCAGTACCTGAGGAAGCCAGAAGAGGTTGCCAGATCCTCTCGTACTGGAGTTACACTCTCAATTGTGGTGTGTCATGTGGGTGCTGGGAACTGAACCCAGGTCCTCTGCAAGAGTAACCAGTGCTTTTAACCCCAGATTGGATTTTTAAAGTATTTAGATAATTCCAGGCAGCTAATCCGTCAAATATGTTTATGAATGAACTCACGAATACATGCACACTAGTAAAACAACTACACATGTTCATTGATCTAATGTTATTAATGACCTAATTTACGATCATATGTTATAACCCAACATGTTTAATAAAATATGGGGCTTGGAGTGTAGTAGAGTGGTAGACTGTCTTCCCTGCGTTTAGAGGAGAGGCCCTGGGTTCAGTCCCCAGCCTCCAAGTATCTAAGTGAAAAATATTATATATGTGTATGTGTGTGTAAGTATATGTGTATATATGTATATGTATGTATACATGTGTGTGTATATATATATGTATGTATGTATGTATGTATGTATGTATACATGTGTATATGTGTGCGTGTGGTAGGAGAGAAGTATGTGGGTGTGGGGGGAGAAATAAAGGTATATGTGTGTACCTGGTCTGTCGACCAGGCTAGCTTGAACTCACAGAGACTGCCTAGCTCAGTCTCTGCCTACTGCCTAGCTCAGTCTCTGTGAGTTCTGGGATTAAAAGCATATGCTACCACATCAACCCTGCATTATTTGTTTAAAAACAAATTTCACGTCTCCTCTGATTTTACTGTGCTTTTCTTTATCCACACTTACGTGTCTGTCAATCAGATGGCATTTTGTCTGTTTACTGAGTAGCCCCAAAGGCAAAACCACATAACCGTACAGACATACAGATCATAGATGTACACATACCACACACACACCACAGACACAGACCATAGACATACACACACACAGAGACACTACAGACAAATGTACCACAGACACACATACCACATACACACCATAGACACACATACACCATAGACACATACCCTGACAGAAGCAGCTTAGGAAGAAAGGGTTTGTTTTTAAACGAGTAATGCGCAGGTAGGTGTTGATGTAATTCCAGGTTGCAGTCCATTCTTGCTGAGAAGCAGAGGCAGCAGAAGTTGCAGCATCTAGTTACCCCACATCCTCAGTCAGGAGGAGACAGAAGCGAATGCATGCTTACTACTCACTTCCCCCAGAGCTGCTGTCTCCCACAGGGAGCCGGCTTTCCCGCATGACGTAACACAGTCAGGGCGCTCTCCCACAGGCCAGCTCTATGTAGACAGTTCCGCATTGAGACTCCTGTGCCAAGTGAATCTAGATTGTGTCGAATTGACAATTGAAGCCAACCATTACACAAATGTATTTTATACCAAATAGATTAAAAATAGCTAGTTTACTATGCCCTTTTGATTTTTGTAAATCCCTCAGTGTACCACCTGTATTGGTTTTATAATTTTTGAAAGAGTCTAATGTATTTTTGCCATTTATTAACTATATTATTCAAATATTATAAATATATTTTAGTATCATGTTAAGCATTTAAGTTCTGTGTAAAAGAGGTGATAATGCTCATGTGAATCATTCAATATTTAAGATAAATTTAATAGAACTACCTAATATCTTAATTAGTATAATGTATAATTATGTATTATATAAAGTGGTAAGGAAAAATTGTAGATTTGTGTTAATTAAAAGCATATATGCCCTAAGCTGTACTTAGAAGTTATAATCCAATTAGAAACATTTACTAATTAAACTCTAGCTTTTCATTTTCTCTAAGAAGCAGATGACTTTGGATTAAGTAGTCAAAGTAATGCAGAGAACACGACTGTTTCTCTGAAAATTAAAAGGCTTACTTGATACATCTTTGTTTTGAAACCATAATGAGTAAGTAAATATGGCTTTACAAATTTTCATTTCAGTTGCTTTTGCCAAGAGTCAGTTATTTGACATTGGTAACTGACAAAGTGAAAAAGCACTTTCAGAAGGTTATGAGGCAAGAAGATGTCAGTGAGATATGGTTTGAATATGAAGGCACACCCCTGAAATGGTAAGTGAGTTATTTTCGTTGTTAAGCATTTAGTATATGCTAGCTGTAAGAAGGTATAGTGTCCTGGAACAACTGTAAAAAGTTCTACAAAGAAAGAAAGCCAAGCGTGGTAGCTGTAGTCCCAACGTTCAAGAAGCTGAAGCAGCAGATTGCCAGTTCTGCTGCCCTGGTCAGTATATCATATCGAGTACCGGGGAAGCCAGGGCCGTACAGCAGAACCCTCTCTCAAACAAAAGAGAGAAGAAATGACTCGCCTAGCTTATAAATAAAGGTTAAGCATTACGCAGTGCTTTGCGGACAGTGCTCTGCCTTGTCTGGCATGCTCCAAGCCCCGGGTTCAGTTTAACGCTTCAAAAACCAGGCATGGTGAGGCACGTCTGTAAAGTCCCCGCACTCAGAGGTGGGGGCCAGAGGATCAGAACTTTGTCACCCGTGGCTGCATGAAGAGTTTAGCCTGAGCCATATGAGACCCTGTCTTTGTCCCCCACACTCCCTATCTCACCTCCCCCCAATTCTGCCTTCCCAAACAGTGCCGTTACAGATAAGGACCCAATGTTCAGATACTGAGCCTTCGGTGACATTTCTCTTTAAACCATCACAGGAAAAAAATCTGCCTACTGTTTGGATGATGGATAATTGTATAATAGACTAACATATTTGCTTTCTTTGTTAACTTTTTAAAATTATGTGTATTCATGTTTGTCTATTTGCATGTATAAGTGAGTGCAGGTGCCCATGGAGGACACAGAGGCCCCCAGACACTCTGGGGCAGGAGTTACAGGTGGTTATGAGGCACACCATATGGACGCTGAGAAGTGAACTTGTTCTCTGCAAGATCAGGATGTGTTTTGTATTGCTAATGTGCATGCCTGATGTCCCATAAAGGTCAGAAGGGGGTATTGGGTCCCATGGAACTAGAGTTACAGGTGGTTTTGAGACACCACGTAGGTGCTAGGAATTGAGCCTCAGTCCTCTACAAGAGCAGCAAGTGCTTTATACTGCTGAGCCATCTTTCCAGCCCTTAGTATGTATTCTTAACTGCCAAGATTCTCTCTCCAGCCTCACACTCTGGCTACTATGCTATTTTTAAGATTCTGTAAAACAACCCTAAATTTGGGCTTGTCCATATGCAGATGAGGTTTTGGTATTTTCTGTTCCTGAGAGTTTTACTTATTGTGCTTCCAAAATATTTAGAGTAGAGAAGTTACAAAGAGAAGGCTGTAGATTCGGTCAGGCTTCTATACTGGGAATCCTGTATTCAGATGTTTCTGTTTGCATACATTTGGTTGCAGAAAGATATTGATGACTATGATTTAAGTGGAATTTGAAAAATACAAATAAGTTAAAATACTTTATTCCACTCCGGGGCATTAACATGAAGAGGCATTGAAAGAGACTTAGGAAATAAAAGGTACTTAGGTGTAAATAACCTTATTGTGCAGCTGTCTAGGACAATTTGGAAGGAGCGCACTTCTGGAATTCTTTAAGGTTTTGTCTGCTAGACACCACATCAATAATGTTAGAAACAATTTAGTCTTTTTATTGCATAAGAGTGATTTGGTGTAAGTATATCATCTTCCTACATCCTTTGAGAAAGCACCCTGCCTCCACTCATCACTGTGGATTGAGCTAGGGGTCTTGAGCAGTCTTGGCAATTGCTCTTCCACGGAACTTCATTCTCAGCCTTCTGGAAAATCTTTTTTCCCCCTCCAAGACAGGATCTTTGTCTGTTGTCCAGGCTGGTGGGAGGAAGGTTCACTTTGTAATCCAGGCTTGTGTCAAATCACGGCTGTTTCCAGCTGCAGCCTGTCAGCTGTTGGGAATAGGGTATGCTCCAGAATGCTTGGCAGGTCCTGGACTGTAAGAGGTTCAACTCGGCCCTTTGTGCCATGACTGCTGACAGTCTACTTAATATTTTCCCCCCTCTTCTATTCTTTAATTTTCTAGTTGCCTATTTTAATTTGTCCAAACTATAACAGAAAGCTATTTAAATAACAGCACTAGGCATAACAGCACTAGGCATACAGAATGCCCAAATAAGTTAAAGATACAAGCCTGGCATGATGGTGCAATCCTTTAATCCCAGCACTCGGAGGCAGAGGCTGGTGGATCTCTGTGAGTTTGAGGACAGACAGCCTGGTCTACATAGTGAGTTCCAGGACAGCCAGCATAGAGAGACCCTGTCTCAAAAATAACTGTTACTGATGCATAGGTAGCTTCTAAAACATAGTCTCTTGTAGGCTACAAGTGCCTTATTTGGGCCCATCCCTAGCCCTCATATATTTACATTGATAACTTTAAAGTTATCTGAGAAACAGAAGTGTTGATCCATCTGAAAACCTGGGTCTTTTTGGAATGATTTGATTAGACAGCAGAGGGTGCTCTAACACTGCATTTTAAGGAGTGACAGTTCTTGTTACTACAACTTTAGTAGTCATTTATATTTGACACTTTCATATGGTAAAACACCTTAAGAAAACAGTTTTAGATTCTCTGAAGACTACTTTGGCAGTAAACCCTGTTAATGGTAAAATCTGGTTGAGTTTGTTGCTCCCTAGGAGAAATTGCCTAGCCTATATAAGGCCCTGGGTTTGATTACTTTCTACTGTAGAAAAAGAGTGGGGAGGAGAAAGAAAATTAGTTAGATCTTCAACTTTTGAGTACAAAATTAAGAAAGTTCTTTTGTTAACTGTAAAATAAGTATTTCTAATGGGATTTTTAAATGTTTAAACTATTTTCAGAATGGACTGTGGAAGTAAGAAGTTAAAACTGGCTTCTGGGAAATACTGCTGGTCTTAAACTTAGCTGGAATACAATGACTTGAATAGTGTGTGCAATTTCAAGAGCACATTCCAGCGAGACAGTTAATGCAGACTTGCATATAATTCTCTTTACAACATAGGATCTTCTTCACAGTTTGTAAATGCTGTGTAGATTATTCCCTATCTCCAGTCTGTGTGTGTGTGTGTGTGTGTACTAGCTTTTCCATTCATTTTTCTAAGGTTGTAAATTTTTGGAATTTTAAAAATTATTTTGTAAAGTGGACCTTTGTGGGGGTAAGGCCTTTAGGGCATCAGATTCAGGCCTTTTTAACTAGGCAAGTGAATTAAATTACTTGGGCTTGCAATTGGAGTTGCTCCTTGTTTACTCAGTAAAAAAATAAACTTGTGAATCTTCAGTGTGATGATTTTTTGGGGGGTAAGAAGGAAGCATTTATTTCTATGAAATGACCTGAGGCAGTAGTACTGTAAAGTATGGATCATCCTTTTTTGTTTTACCTGTGTGTATGTGTGTGTGTGTGTGTGTGTGTGTGTGTGTCTGTCTGTCTGTCTGTCTGTCTGTGGAGTAGAGCTTGTAGAGGTAAGAGGACAACTTTTGGAAGTCTGTTCTCCACCTTAATTTAGGATTGGGAGGTTGAATTCAATAGGCAGGCTTTTTTGAACCTTCCTCCAGCCTATTTATCCATCCATCCATCCATCCATCCATCCATCCATCCATCCATCCATCCATCGATTGAATGCAGGGTTTCACATAGCCCAGACTGGTGTTAAACTTGCTATGTTGCTGTGATTAACTGAATTCTGCATCCTGCCTCCACTTCCTGAATAATGGGGTTATATGCCTGGAGGATTTTGTAACTACATAATTGAAAGTCTGGATATTTGCATACATACATAATATTAAGAGAAATAATCACAGACTGGGGATTTGCATTTTCGTTAGGTGAATGTCTGTACACTTACAAATTTCTAAATTTTGAAAATAGAAAGTAGGGGCTGGAGAGATGGCTTATTGGTTAGGAGCTCTGGCTGTTCTTCTAGAGGGCCTAGGATCGATTCTGAGCATCCCCATGGTGGCTCACAACTGTCTATAATTTCAGTCCCAGGGGATCTGATGTTCTCTTCTGGCCTCTGAGGACAATACATGCATGTAATCCACAGACATACTTGAAAAAAAAATCCATACAATGTAAAAATAAATAAAAGTTAATTTTAAAAAGAAAAGCATAAGCTGCCTTTACCACCACAGCTCTCAAGGCAGTTGGTCTAAGAGTTGAAGGCCAGCCTGAACTATATGAGATACCATCTCTAAAACAAGCAAACAAACAAAACTAGTTGTTGTAAAGCGGCAGATGTGGTTGAGCACATCTGTAATCCCAGCATTTAGGTTGTAGAGGTAGAAGGATGATTGATATGTGTTTGAGGCCAATCTGGCTAAGATAGTAGCAGGCCAGCCAGAGCTGCATAGTGGCATCATCTCTCAAAAGTAAACAAGATATTTTTGTGTTTAAATAAACTTAGAGTGAATGGTTTCATCTTGTAAGTACCAGGATGATAATTTAACACTACAACAGCTCATAAGAATCCAGTATACTCATAGAAGGAGTACATTGAAACTCCTCTTGGGAATGAAGAATTTAGAAGAAAAACACCTAGCAGCTGGGGGGAGTGCATGTATTGACGCAGGCATGTAGCTGTGTGAAGTTACTGTTCAGTAAAGCCTATGAAAGTGGGGTTAAATGTTTGGGGGGTTTAGTTATAAATTTATGTATTTTTCCTCTAAGATATACCTTTCCTTTTTAGGCATTATCCAATTGGTTTACTATTTGATCTTCTTGCATCAAGTTCAGCTCTTCCTTGGAACATCACAGTACATTTCAAGGTATAGTTTAAATAGCAGTTCCCGTTTGTTTTATTTGTGCTTCTTAATAGTGTAGAAATTTTTTTCAAATAATTTATTATTTCTCCTTTTCTGTTTGTTTTTAAGACATGGTCTCACTCTGTAGTCCATGCTGGCCGGGCACTTAGTGTGTGGTCTAGGTTAGCCTTAAAGTGATTGTCCTGCTTAGCCATCGCAGTGCTGGGGTTGCAGCATTGCTTCCACACCTGACGAATGGCTTGATCCAGGATAGTCATTCCTTCTAACTTCTCACGGCTGCTCTTTCTGCCCTAAGATATTCTCCAATTTTTGATAAAACCATTTAATGTATAAATATCTTTTCTTTTTTAGGGCCAAGTAATCCATGTTTTAGGCTTATAACAAGTTGTTATATCTAATCTGTATATAATATATAGAGTTATATTTAGAAAATAATAAAATTCCCAGGTGTAGATGTGGGCATGAGAGTAGAGATTCGAATAACTAGTAATGTTGATAGAAGTTCAAAGATTTGTGAGTCTCTGTTTTCAGACACAATTCCTGTAGATTTGAAACCAGGTAACTTTAATGTTGGGTAATTTTGTCCTAATAAATTGTAAAGTACTGGTCATACCTGGGCATAGTGCGCTGAGTGGTCATGGTGCTCAGGAGGCAGAGTCAGAGAGGTTCTGAGGTCAAGTGCACCTAGGGCCTGGGCTGCATTAGGAGTTCGAGTCCAGCCTGGGCTACATAATGAAATCTAACTCAAGAAGAAGTAAAAATAAAAAGTAATTTACTGGTCTCCTCCCTCTTTACTTGTGCTCCACCCTTCCTACTTCCCATTTCATGAACATCCCTCCAGCCTCCAGGTTGGTTTCAGTGTTAGCAAACTGACCTGGCCTACCCAACAATCAGTTTAGCACACATGGCACCAGCTTTCACGGCCATCGTAGGGTTTTGTCGTTGCTGTGATGGTGGTGGTTGGTTGTTTCTTTTCCTTCCAATATGTTTTTCTAAGTTTTACATTGTCTCCATAGGCACTTCAGTAGTTTTCCATCAGCTGCACAGTTGCTGCGGCTGTCCCCACATATGGATGTTCCCACATATCTCCGCAGTCCCTGATATAGGGGCCTCTGTCTTCTCTCTTCCCTCCATCCCCATCTGCCTGCTCACATGGGTTTTTCAGCAATGAGAGAAAAGCTTTAGTGGTGTCATGTAGGTTGTTTATTAATTCAGTAAATACTGAATCCTGCTATGTGCTAGCCCAACACTCTTCTAGGAGTTTGGGATATAGGATTGAAGGACACAAAGACACTCAAATATTGAAGACATTCCCAGCCTATTTTAAAGGCCGAATAACTGACCCTAATACTATTAAAGAAAGTGGAAATACATTGCAAATCAGTATCTTTTATGAACATGCATATAAAAGTGTTCGGTAAAAATTTGTAAACTGAACCCAGCAGTACCTAGAAAAGAATACAAACAATTGCTGAGTTTATCTCATGAGTACAAGATTGATTCAACACTCAGTCATCAATCATTGTAATTTCTTACATTGGCAAAATTAAGTAGAAAAGCCACAACAACAAAACTAGTAGACATAGAACATATATGGACAGAGTTCAATAACCATTGTCAATAAAACCCTTAGCAAGCTTAGGAATAAAAGATAATTTACTCATTTTGACCAAGGGCATAGCAAAAATCTTCCTAAATGATATTTAAAAATGCTTTTTAGATTTATTGTATGTGTGTAAATATTTTACCTGAATGAATGTGTATGCCTGTTACCTGTAGCTGCTAGAAGAGGTGTCATATCTTTTGGAACTAGACTTACAGATGGTTGTGAGCTGCCCTTTGGGTGCTGGGAACCCAGCCTGGGAGCTCTGCAAGAGCAGCAGGTGCTCTTACCCACTGAGATGTCTCTGCGGACCCTCCATGATGGATGTGCATCAGGAAGAAGACAAGGATAGCTGACCGTGCCATTCATAGAAGCAGTTCTGCTGGAATCCAGCATGTTTACTTAAAGCAAGACAAAAACAAAAGCACTGCTTTTCAAGATTGTGCAGTTTCAGGGACAAGTCCAAAACCTTTCCACAGCGTAGTTTTACACAGGCAGTAGCTAAGAGGTACGTAAATACTGAAATAAGGATGGCATTTCAAGTTTAAAAAGACTCAGAGTTTGCTTCTGGAGATAGGTGTCGTGAGCACGTCCAGTCTGAAACTGTGGGAAGGCTGTTTGGGATGAGAGGCTGCAGTGGGTGGTTGGCGAGTGTGGCTGCTGACGGGAAGTGTTTCTCTCATGGAGGCTTTAGACTTCGGGCACTTCTACTCAGATCTGCCTAGCTGGCTACAGAATGCGGTGTGCACCTGCTGTTGCTCGTGGACAATATTTGCATAAGTACACACAGAATTCACATTATGCTCAGCCACTTACCTCATGTGTCGCTTGCTTTGGAACAAATGCAAAAGATTTGAACAGAAAGCTTGCAGAACCTATGAATTACCGACAAAATACTTGAAAAGATGCCTACCCTCTTTAGTCATCAGGGAAATGTAAATGAAAACCAGAGCCAGAGATTACTTTACACTTACTAGAATGACTAAAATGAAAAAGACTAATAAATTTTACATTGAGTACCCAGAACTGTGAAATATTGCATCTGAGAGTTTAAAATTGTTCTGTCAATTTGAGAAAATGCTGCAGTTTTAAATGGCATTAAACATAAACCTAGACCTGTGTGGCCAACGTTGCTGAGTTTAGCTGTGTGTTCAGAAAGACAAACGATGTCTGCCAGGACACTTCCATGTTACTGTCCACAGTGGCTTTCTTAACCAGGGAAAAGTTGGAAATAATCATGCCAGCAACAGGTTTTACGATTAAACACAATATCACATATTCAGTGACAACTCAGTGACAGAAAAAAGCCTCTTTCTGATGAGTGCAGTCACATGAGTAAATCTCAAGAGTAAGCTAAGTCAGTGACACTATTTCATATATGATTTTATCATAGGCAAGACTGCTGCAGCATATTATTTCAGTGATTGGTGGAGACAGGAAGGAGGGAGCCTGCTCAGGGTACAGAGTAACTTATGGCAAACTTTTGGTGGAGAATGAGGGTGATGGTAGTGGTTGTGGCTAACTTTTGGTGAGGAATGAAGGCATATGGTTATTATAATCTTTGTTTTGTTTGGTTCATAGCTATTCAGTCAGGATTTATCTAAAGCTTCCTATATTGTATATGGATCATATCTCAATAATATGACTTATTTAAGAAAGATTTACTGAGAAGTGAGGCCCTTACCTCTGCTGAGTTAGACTTTCAGAGTGCTTTCACCTGTGGCTATGTTAGCAGGCATTGTAGTACTAACTAACAATGCTGTATAATTACTACTGCGGAGTCCAGTGTAGGGACAGTGTGAACTTAACCTTGACTTGGCGGGTGAAAGGGAAAGTTTCATGGATGGTATGCCATAGAAGCTAAACCTAAAGCTGAGGATTCTTTGGCTACACTCTAAGTGGTTAGACACGGAGAAAAGAATGTTCTAGGTGGAAGAAAGCAGTGTTCAAATAGTTGGTGTGAAAGCAGAAATGAGAGAGTATTGCTGGAAGAACTAAAAGAATGTTGAAGATGGAAGCTACTCAAGTGTTTGCATGCGTGCAAGGAATAGGGTGGGAGGTTTAGGTGGGCAACTTAGTAGACCTTGAAGTAACGTAGCATCTTGATGGCTTTGATATATTGTAAAAGGAAAAGTGGAGGGAGAAGGTTAGGTCTTAAGTTAGGTCTTTTTGGAAGGTCACTATGACTCTCAGTGCAAAAGCATTAAGGGTATAAAATTATAGGCATGTGCCCTTGTTAGCTTAAACTGTTAATTTGACAGAACCTAGAATCACCAGAGAAGGAGTCTCTATTGAAAGCCTGCTCAGATCAGAAAGGCCTGTGCACAGAATGTTGGGGATGACCTTGATTGTTAGCTGACACACGAGGTCCAGCCTCCCATGGATAGCATCGTAACCTGGGCAGGTAGAACTGGACTGTATTAGAAAGCTGGCTGAGAATAAACTTCCCAGTTAGAGAGCTAACAAACAGCATTCCTCCATGGCTGCAACTTCAAGCCTTGAGTCCCTGCCCTGACTTCCCTCATTGATGGGCTATGAACCGGATGTGTAAAACAGATAAATCCTTTTCTCCCATATAAGCTGCCTTTGGTCAGAGTGTTTTATCACAGCAATAAAACAAACTGCATGAGTGCTGTTGCAAGGGTTTTAGAACTAAATAGGTCTTAGCCTGGTGTTGAAAGTTGGGAAATTCCAGATCTACTTAGGATATAAAGCAGCAGACTATTTGCTATGGAAATGTGGAGGAGGTGTGGTGGCATTATTTTATCATTGGATTTGTTGAGTTGCTTGTACATCTGGGACATTTGCTAGATGATTGTGGGTCTGAAAGTCCTAAGAAGGATTCTGACAGGAAATAATACTGATAATCTTTAGTTCATACATAATATGGAAGTAGGTAATCTCACTCAAGGTGAGGATATGGAATGAAAAAGAAAAGAGGTCCTAGGTTACATACTTGAAACAGATCACACGAATTTAAGAATAGCTTTGGAAAAGGCAAGCGAGGCAGAGACTAGATGAAAGGAAAGTGGGAAGTGTTGATAGCAGAAACTTGAGCATGACTAGAGAACAGTCACATGTATTAGACTCTTGGTGAGAACTTAAAACAGCCAGTTGAAAGGTGTTTCTGTGACTAATCATGGTGGCTACCTGATTGCAATATTGATAAGAATGAAAAGGCTTATGTGAATGTGTGGTGACAAATCTTGAGAGTTGTAGCCAAAAAAAAGTTGAGTTTAAGGTTTGTGTTTGGCTTTGGATAGATGTTTTCAGTGGGAAGAATGTAGTGAAACAGTATTAGGAAAATGAGTAAAGTTGCTCCTATCGGAGAGTCTAAAGATTGAACAAATAGGATCCAGGAAACATGATGAGAAATAAATACCCTCTAGATTGTAGCAAGGAATGATGATTCCTTATAGCCATGCTTGTACACTACACCTTGGCAGAACCGGTCTCTTAAGAGAAGTGAGAAATGTTAACGTTACTTGGTATCTGGTGCATTTATCTTTGCATTACTTCATCTACCTTTTTTTTTTTTCTTTCTTTCTCTTTTCTATTTTAAGACAGGATATTGTAGTTTTTGCTGCCCCCAAACTACACAACCAGAGGTAACTTTGAATTCATGGTCCTCAAATGCTGATGTTACAAGCATGTGCCATGTCTGGTTAACTTCTGTTAGCTTTTGGGTTGTGGGTGGGAAGAGCATAGAAGGAGGTGGGTTGTAAGTCTTCATGACCCATGCAGGCCTTGAATCTGTGTCTCTCTTGCTTTTATCTCCTGAAACTGGGATTAAAACAGGCATCAAATTGCTTTTCCCAATGAAAAATAATACATTAGAAGGAATATTTGGGGGGGATGCCCCCCCCAACCCTTTGTGTTTTTGCACTAAAATAATCTTGGGAAACTTTTTTAAATGATTTTTATTAAAGTAAACTTATAAACTATAACTTTATATTTTTTATTCTAAATGCTGAATCAACTACTAGAGAAGACTATAATAAAACAGTGAGAGCTCATGTTTAATGAGATATTTGGTTCTTTACATGTGACATGAAAATTTATTTTTGGTGTTGCTTCATTGCTTTAACAAAGTACCCTCACTTTGGTGATATTTCTAATGGATTGAATTTTTTTCACTTACTTGTAAATAGTGCTTTGATTTAATGTTGTTCAGTTACTTCTAGTTAGTTCTATTTAGATGATACATTGCAGAAAGTTGGTGATTGTTCTTTAATTAGAATCTCTAGAAGTTATAATCTCAAGAAGGAGGGTCTGAGAATTTAGCTCAGAGGTCCTTAGAATGTGGTGGGGAGTGTGTGTATAAAATATTAAAAAGACATTCCTCAAACCTCAAGCGAACTGATTCCTAAAGGGAATCTTTCAGAGTACTCCTGTAAAAGTGAAATTAAATTTAGTTTGTCATGCTTCTAGTGAGTGAACATGTCATCACACTCTGTGAGAATTTGTTTGGATCAGAAAGATAAGCATGTGTACACAATAGCTAATGCACGTTAGGAAAGATTGAAATGTAAAGAATCAAGGATCTGTTTGTAATTTCACTGTTATCTTTGGGAAAGAGCCTTTTTTCACTTGGATAGATGTGAAAGAAAGGCACTCATGGTGAAAGGGGCCTATGGAGGAGCTTTTGTCATTCTTTACAGCACTCCCTTCAGCTGTTTTGGCTACACAAGCAGCTTGGCTCTGTTTCTCTGAGTTCCTATCATGGAGGATTTCAAAGCCTTCCTAGAGTTGGGCCTTTTGAAGGTAGATATAGAGGAATGTCAATGCCTCTTGTAGATATCGCTCTGGCTCCAAAGGCCACACATTTGTAATTGCTGGTGTCAGTTGTAGGTATCATATGTGTGATACAGTTAGGAACTTGCAAAAGATAACCTCACAGATGAGGATTTGTGACAGTACAGATTGTGTCAAATAGGTAAGGCTCATTAAGTTAATTTTAAGTCCTTACACTTATTGTGATAATAAAATACAGTGTGCGGGGATCACTAGTGAACGGGGAAATGTAGTTCTCTTAGAAGCTAATTCATGTCTGCATGTGTTGTGTGTGTGTTTCCTTTGACAGAGTTTTCCAGAAAAGGACCTTCTCCACTGCCCATCCAAGGATGTGGTTGAGGCTCACTTTATGTCGTGTATGAAAGAAGCTGATGCATTAAAGCATAAGAGTCAAGTGATCAATGAAATGCAGAAAAAAGATCACAAGCAGCTCTGGATGGGACTGCAGAATGGTAAGTGCTCAGCGCCTGACCTCTGAGTCCACCTAACACAGCCAGAAACACAGCCGTGAGCAGTTCCTACCTTAGGAGTGTCAGTCAGCTCCAGCCGCAGGCCCAAACCTGCAAAGTAGCTTTGTTAGTCATCTGTTCGTTTGCCAGTATTGCTGTGGTCCTGGATTCTCTCACAATTTGAGACAGAATAAACCTTTTAGTCTAGCTTCTGAAGGAAAAGTGTGGTCCTCATTCCTTAAGCATGGCCCTTTTGTATCCTAGTTGGAAACTGAATGCATCCTGAAGGGTCTCTACTCAAACCAGGAGTCCAGCTTTGTCCCTCCTCTTGCTCACAGTAATATGCTTGCTTTGTGCTTGGCTTTTCTTTTGCCTTGCTGTGATTTAGAGACTGCTCTCAACTTAGTACTTGCCAGGCATTCAGAAGTCCTGGCTTGATCCTCAGTATTACACATGCAGGCATGGCAGTGCGTGTGCTTAGGAGGTGGAGGCAAGGGAACAGAAGTTGAGGGGTCATCAACTGCATAGCAAGTTCAAAGCCAGTCAGTGGTACATGGGGCGGGGTGGAGCAGCTGGGAGGAAAAGGGGGGAGAAAGAAAGAGCCAGTGAGCAAGTGGAGAGAGAAAATACTCCTGATAGAATGAGTTCTTCTGCATTGATTGGTGTTAAGAGTCCTGACTTGACCTTTTCCAGTATGCGTGGTTAAGTACAACCAGTTCGTTAGTTATAGTGTTCAAATTTTAGCTATTGTGGCATATTAACCATAAGTAATTATGTAAAATACAATTGTATTGCTAAAGGATGTGTGTATATGTATTGTGCACATGCCATACCTATGCATATTTGTGGAGTCCAAAAGAGGGTGTCAGCTCCCTGGAACTGAACTTCCCAGCCATTGTGAGCTGCTAGGGACTGAGTTGTGGGTGCTGGGGGATGAACTTGGGTCCTTTGGAAGATCTTTTAACCACTGAACCATCTCTCCAGCCTCTATTGCTAGTATTTTAGCGTGGGCATCATTACATAATGACAGATGTGCTCAAGATGGGTGACAAACCACATTACATGTTAGCGTCTATTGATTAATGCTCTGCATTTGTCATTCAGAACATGAACAGCAAGGCAGGTGGTGCTGTAGCTTCCTTGTGTACTTTGAGTTGCTTGAGTCCACTTAACATTTATGGGCGGGCTAAAAGGGAATGGCCCAGAAACCGAAAGTGCAGCACTGACGTTGCCCTGAACAGAGAACAGTAAGAACTCTTCACATGCCAGCAGGGGAAACCTGCTGGTGAGTTCACTAACATACAAGGGGATGGCAGACAAGGTCCCAGATTAAATAAGACTGTTGGTGTTCATAGTAAAGCAACTCTCAAAGATAATGCAGTAAGTAAACGTTGCAGGTATAGACGGTATTTAACCTGATTAGAACAAAGATTTGGGTTCAGGTGGGCAGAGCAAAAATGTTTTCTCATAATTTTTTTACATTTTACAAAGAAATAACACTGCACGTGTGGGGTGTGCACAGGGGGCGGCTACTCGCTTGGGTGTGGTTCTGCGGAGGTCATCTGCCTCCATTGCTTCTCACACCACTTGCTCACATAGGGCCTCACTGGAGTTAGCGCTCCCCAGTTTAGACACGCTGACCAGCCGGCAGGCATTGGGACCTGCCTGTTTGTGTGGAGCTGCAAGCATACATATCACTCCTGGCTTTCATGTGAGAATAGGGTTCAGAAATTAGGTCCTTATTTTCCATTAGCAAGCAGTGTCCCAGAGAGCCTTTTGTTTTGTTTTGTTTTTCTTTCTGTTTTTGTTTTTCGAGACAGGGTTTCTCTGTGTAGCCTAAATCATCCTGGACGTGCTTTGTAGACCAGGCTGACCTTGAACTCACAGCAATCCTCCTGCATCTGGCTCTCCGAGTGCTGGGATTAAAGGTGTGTGCCCCTATGCTTGTTTCTTTATTTCTTTTCTTTTCCTTCCTTTCATCCATCCTTCCTTCCTTCCTTTAAATTATTTTATTCAGTCTTTTAACTTTATATATGAAATAGTAACAGACTTTTCTATTTTTTTGATAAGAAAGTTATACAAATCATGGAATGATGCCATTGTGCCCCACCACTGTCCAAGGTTGAATGTGGCCCAGGTTGACCTCAGGCTCAGGCTTTCCTGCTTCCACCTTGTAAACGGCCAGCTTACAGGTGCAGTGCTGTGCCAGCCTTCCCTGCTGCTAAGATCACTTTCACAGTATGCGCGGGTAGTTGGGACAGTCCTATGTCTTGTATCTTTGTGTTTGCCATTGCCGAGACAAAAGTCCAGTGTAAGCTCTTTGCAGTGACACCGCAGTGTTGTGCAATCACAGCGTGGCTAGTTGCTATTCACTAAACTTTCTGCAAAATGCAGAGTGTTGTGACCTCAACAGAAGGCACATATTTTATGATGTACGCACTAATCCCATTTCTCATTCTTCTGTTAGGTTTATATTTGATCTGCGTGACTTGGAATTGTTACATAGTTTCATATTTATACATCTGGATTTTTTCAAAACCTGCCAAGCACCACACTTTTTCCCCTAAAAAATTGTTACCAAATAATTAAAATGATTTATAACCTAAAGAAAGTATACTGGCTACTCAGTTGTGGTAGTGCATGTTGGTAAACACAACACCTAGAAGGTAGAGGCCAGCTATAAGAGACCTGTCACAAACATAGAAGCTGGGGCTCATACAGAAGGGATCTAAGAAAAAGCTGACCTCAAGCAGTTGCAGAACTTGTGGGTGGAAACAGTGGACCAGGAGTTCACGGCCATCCTGAACATAGCCAAGTTTCAAGTGAGGTTGGACTATGTGAGGTCTTATTTCAGTATCACTTCCTGCTCCCTTACAAACGTGCGTGAGCATTCACAGGTACGCATAGGCACTCGAGAACACACACACACACACACACATTCGTTCACAGGCACACACAGGCAAGTTGTGAAGTAGAGCTGGCCGTATCGATAGGTGGGTAAAGGCATTGCTAGCATGCCTGACAGCCGGACCTCTGTCCCTGGCACACATGTAGTGGAAGGACAGAGCCGACTCCTGTAGTTATTCTTTGCCCTCCGCGTGCATGCCGCAGTGTGCAGAGATAGTAGGTGGGCACTGTGGAGTAGAGTGCTGGAGGTTCACTACAGAGGGCTTGTGAGGGCACTTGGCTGTCCTCTCTCTGCAGTACTGCTCTCTCCTTTTCTGACTCTTTAGCTTGTCTGTCTTTCTACTTCCTCTGACGTCACCTTTGTGTGAAGCCTTCTGTTTGTAGAGCCAAGATGAGTGCCAGGAGGTGTGGCCCTCTACACCTGGAGATACAAGCAGCTTCCTGGAGCTGCAGACAGGAGGCAGGGCTCTCACGCTGTGCGCTCTGAGGGCCTGCCAGTTATATCCACTTTTGTTCTCTAGTGTTCCTGCACTGCTCTATTTTCTACCTTGCACTATATGTACTCATGGCTGGTGCATGTCTTTTATTTTTATCCCCAAAACATGATACTGTCTTAGAGTGTAAAAAAAATAGAAGTTTGATTTACTCTTTTTATCTCTTTCCTCACATGACCAGGAAGTACTATTAGAGTGTTTCATAAATAGTGTAATATTCTTGGTTTAAATTTTTATGGAAATGGGTTTTTATATTTAAGATTTGTTTTTTTAAAACCCCAAGATAAGGTCCTCATTATTTTTGAGGTCATAGAACCGTTGCTACCTTTTTTCGATGCAGTTGTAAATTTGTTCAAATTCAGACAAAGCGGGTGGTCCATTTTTTTCCATTCAGAGCTGCACCTGGACAGCACCAAAGCTAACGCACAAGTTTCAATAATTTTTGAATACTTTCAAATGCTAATTTTAATTTTGGAGCTCTCTGAAGGAGAAATAAGAAAAGCTTATGAAACCAAGAAAACTCATTTAGGGCATAATCTGCCTTTCAGTTTTTTATCGGCTTTCATTTTAGATACAAGAATATGGCACCTCTCTGAAACAGAGCTAATGTCATAAACAGAAGACAAAGGAGCATTTGTGTTGGGCACAATGAGGCACACCTGTAATCCCAGCACTTGGGAGGCAGAGGCGGGCACATGTCTGTGAGTTTGAGGCCAGCCTGGTCTACAGAGTGAGTCCAGGGCAGCCAAGGTTACCCAAAGAAACCCTGTCTCAAAAAAGAAAAAAGAAGAGGCATTTTTATTTATGAGACAGTTGTCAATCCATGCACAGGTTTTCTGTTTCAGTGTCACATTGTGTGGGGAGATTTGAGGAAATCAGTAAAAGATAACAAGAATAATACAAGGCTCAGCTTTCAGCTAGTCTTCTCAGAGTATACTTACTTTTTTTTTTTTTTCTATTTGGGTTTTTGGGACCAGCTTTAGTTTAGGATAACAAACTTAATTCCCCTGCCTCAGCTCCCAAATGATGGGATTTTGGATGTGCATTACCACACCCAGACTGAGTCAACACTTTTAAAAAAGAAAATGATACAAAGTTCCATATACTTGCAGATGAAACAGTAAGGCATTTTTAAATGATTGAGATGTGACGTTACTAAGACTAAGATGGTTGTAATAGAATTATAAAAGTTAAGTTCTAGACATCATAGAAACTATTGAGTATGGTTTTCTAGTAAATACTTTTACTTTTGAAATGGTCTTTGCTGGATATTGAAGACGGGCCTGCCAGGTAATAAAATGAGCTAAGTTTTCAGTCAAAGCACTTGTTTATCTTATGACCTCAGTCACCTCACCACTGTTCATTATTTCATAAAACTTCTGACATCGATTTCATTATCCTACATTTAAGTTCTTAAGTGGCTTTTTTAAATATATATTTTAATTGGTGTAGGTATGTGTGTTGGCACGTGTATATGTCAGGAGTATAGGTGCCTTGGAGGCCAGAGATACTGGATATTCTGGAGCTAAGATTATAGGTGCTGTTGAATGGCCTGACATGCTTGCTGGAAACCCAGAAACTCATGTTCTGGAGGAGCAGGAA